TCAGCCTCCTGAGTTCTGGGATTATAGGCATGTACCACCAAGCCCAGCCACATCAAATTTTTTTTTTTTTTTCTATTTTTGTACTGGGACTCAAACTCACAACCCAAACTCACAACCTCAAACTTGCCAGGCAGGCGCTGTCCTGCTGAGCAATATCCCCAGCTTCACATCCAATTTTTTTTTTTTTTTTCACATCCAATTTTAAGACTGCATTTTCTCCTAAAGCAGGCAGGGCTGAATTCAACAGATTAAATAACTCCTAGAAGAACCAGGACAGATGTTCCACTACCTGCCCTTCCATAGAAACAAAAGACTTAGGAAATATAGATCTGCATCCCCTACCTCCTGCTCAAATAAACTGGAGCTGGCCCAGTAGTTAGGCAATTAATTGGGAAAGTTTATTTAAGCAGTTAACTTCTTTATTTTTTTAAGTGGAAGCAAATATTTTATTTAAATCAACTCTTAAATCACAGTTTATCCAAATGAACATAATGCAACATTGTTCTTAAAAGAAGGGGCATAGGGCCAGGGATATAGCTCAGTGGCACAGCGCCTGCCTGGCAAGCATGAGGGCCTGAGTTTGATTCTCAGTACCCCATCCCCCAAAGGAAGAAGGGACACAAATATGACACACACAATCCAGTATCTATCAAAATACCATTTAGTTAGCACCAGGCATGGTGGCGCACACCTGTAATCCCAGCATTTGGGAGGCTAAGGCAGGAGGATCTCCACAAGTTCAAATTAGAGGCCATCCTGGGCTACATGGTAAGTTCAAGACCGCCTGGACTGCATAAAGAAACCCTACCTCCAAAAAAACCCTCAATATAAATAAAATGGTGAATAGATACCCTAATAAAAGTTGGGAACTATAAGGAACACCACTTACCAGTCTTTATTATGGTTTTGGTTTTGGTTTGTTTTTTTGTTTTTGTTTTTGTTTTTTTTTTTCAGACAGAGTCTCACTATGCAGTTCAGGCTGGCCTTGAGCTTACTTTGTAGCCTTGGCTGGTCTCAAACTTGCAATGATCCTCCTGCCTCAGCCTCCTGAGTGCTGGGATTACAGGCACACGCCACCATGCCTAGCTCTTTTTTTTAGATTTTTGAAGCAGGATCTTGCCATGTAGTCCAGCTCTGTCTTGAACTCAATATGTATCCCAGGTTGACCTTAAACTAAAGGTGATCCTCTAGCCTCATCTCCCTAGGTACTACAATTATAAGTATGCACCTCCACACTCAGCTTTTACCAATCTTTAGATGAAGAACTAAACCTTTTCTGCTGAATGTGGTTCTTGAGCTGTAGTGTTTATCTCTGTGTGTGTGTCTGTGTGTGTGTTACTGGGGATTGAACTCAAGGCTGTCACACTGAGCTACATTCCCAACCCTTTTTTTAATTTTACATTTTTGGGGGGTGGGGTTTGAGACAGGATCTCAATCTGCAGTCCAGGCTGGCCTTCAGCTCACAGCAATCTTCCTGCCTCAACCTCCCGATTGCTGGGGTTACAGGTATGTGCCACCACACCCAGCTCCCAACGCTTTTTTAAAACATTTTTGATTCCCGGTACCAAAAAACAATTTTTTTTTTTTCATTTTGAGACAGAGTCTCCCTAAGTCATTAAATGCCGCAGGCTGGGCTCAAACTTTTGAACCTCAAACT